ATAATTTTTATAACCGGTATTTTACTGTTTTTTTTTTAACTTAAATATTTTTTTTTTTGACAATCGGTCGGTGCTTGGTACACGTTTCAATATTTGTATATATTTTTCAACAAAAATAGAAACAATTATAATTCATAACGATAATATTATTTTTAAAAAGACTGAACTGAAGGTCTCATCGAATGAACTTAGACATTATATAAGAATGAATTTGAGGTTACTGTATAGTATTAAAAGTACAATTTTTGTGTAAATTAATGAATAACATAAAATTAGTAATTATGATATTTCTTTTATGAATTCTGTCAAGTAAATTTGTTTTTGTATTTTCATTTATATTGATTTAGTTATTATTGTTTCCATTTCATTACAACATTTCATCCTTTAAATGAAAATCAGTAAAACAATTTTTTTATTTACAGATATTGAGTTGAAAATACAATAATATAATAATATAAATATATAATGAATGGACATTTCCACAAAAACACTGGATATTAATTTCCCTCTATAATATGGATATATTTTATTACATATATCGTACACAAAACTATAAAAGTATGTATTTATCAATATTCAATACCACTGCAGAAGCTTATGAAGCCTACAATACGATTCCACTGTACTTATTAGTATAGTAGTTTTTATTCGATTGAATTGGAAAAATGTTGAACAAATAATATATAAGTGATTCGTGAAATAATAATAAGCTTAAGAATAATTGTATTTATGACTATTTACAAGTTATCGTGATATAGTAATATAATATGGGTCTTCATTGAAATCTTGCAAACATACTACTATAGTACTATAGTTATAGAATCGTCAATACTATTTTTATAGAAGCTTTTAGACTTTAGAGTAGAAGTATTGAATTAAAAATATAACTTGTAAATCATCAATATACCTATTTTAATTATCAATGATAATACTATGTAGGTAGACTAGTGAATTTTCAATTTATTATTAATTAATCTTTCTTGTCATGCAAAATATATAGATAGGTACATAATCAATATAAATATTATAAGTAGGTATTAAACTTTTAGTTTTCTTTATGCCTACCTATTGTTGGTAGGTATGATTATTTTTTTTAAACAGTTCAATACTGGCCGGTATACTCAAGACTCTAGAGGCCAGGTATTAAATGAGTTAAATTTAATTCTTTTTTAAAGATTTATTTTATTAGTACACTAGCTAAGCTATTTTTGTTATTAAATTTTTTTTCCCTTAAAAGTTGAATAAAATTATATTATGATGGTTAGGTAGGATATTATCAGGTTGTCCATGAAAAATAACATTTGTTTACTTGTATATCATACGTATTTTAAAAGTTTGGTACACTACAACTAGTACCTACAACTATTAGATAACATACATATTATGTAACCAGCTCATTTCATCGCTAAACTATTTGCCGAGACTCATTTACCAATAAACTTCAGAAATAACTTAAACCCTTTGAAACCGTTATTTGTATACTCTATTTATTACATTATTTACGTGAACATCAGGTCCATAGTTATCCAGCGTTCTATACTGCAGCTGAATTAAAAATTTTTATTTTTAACAACCATTTTTTACATAAATTTGCAAGCTATTATATAAATGTATAGGATTATCTATAAATCTAATTTGGAGAATGGCATAGCTCTCTCTGTTTGCAATTTAGTAATTCAATGTAGAATCTACATTGTAGATACCTATGTATACGCAATATGCCAAATATCATGTACATAAATAGCACAATATTTCCTTTGTGGAGGCATTACATTACATAAATTTAATAATCTTTCTTCATTCAAAATGTTGGCTCTAAAATCACGAGTATTATTCGTATTTGTTAATTTGTTATGCATTATTATCCATTATAATTTGGAAATTGAATAGGTACGTATACAGTCTGCCCAGTGCCGGCCCTAGGGGGGGGCAAGCGGTGCGACCGCACCGGGCCCCGCGCTTGTGCGGGGCCCCGCGCATGGTGAGCTTGTGCGGGCTTGTTACGAATATCACTTTATCTATAAATAAACATAATAATATTGTCCCCGTAGCAGTAATACGGATATCGCGACCATTGTTGTTTTCTTAGGAAACTGTTTGTTATCGACAAATACCAATTAGAATAAGTATGTGTACTATGTCTATATTTTAATATCTTACTTTGATTGAGGGGTGGACTCCAAAACGTACTATTGCCAAAATTGGCAAAAACGAGTTAGACACCGATTCTAGTAAAAAAAACGCTGACAAATCGATTGGTGTTGTCAGAATAGACCAAAACGTACTATTTCCAGGTCAAATCAGCTGTTAAAAATGACTGCTTAATCCAAAACGAACCTTTTCCGTGCATAAAAATTATATTTAGATAATCAAAACGTACTTTTTCCAGTTTTACGACAAAACATACTATTGCCAATGTTAAAACTTAAAATAATAGGCACCAATCATTAACTATACCAAAACGAACTATTTTCGTAAATTATTCCAAAACGTACTTTTTTTTTATGTTATGTCAAAACGTACTACTGCCCGTATTGTAGGTATAGCGAAATAAAATAGTTAATCCAAAACGTACTAAAATATAATTTATAATTTATAATATTCACAATCATTAAGTTTGAAATTAAATTAAAAATATAATCCTAGATTATTAAACACATTTGAGTCGTTTTTAATAGAAATAATATATTATTAAATAATTTAAAAAATCTTCCTTGTCTTCAAAATTACTTTTTTATTTATAAACGATTTGTTCATATTGAAACAATAAATAAGAAATTAATAATATTTTTATTTTGGAAAAAGCACATTTTGGAGTATATTTTAATATTTCATTAGGTTTTCCAAAATGAACTATTTCCATTAAATTTTCCAAAATGTACTATTTCCATTAAATTAATGGAAAAGGTATACGTTTTGGATTATTTTACATTTTTATATGACAAAAAAAATATGTAGATGTAGAATCATTAAAGTCATTCTATCTAAATTTTAAAAACAATACTGATAGGTAATATTATTTTCACAGGCAATTTAAAAAAGTCCCTAAAAAATAAAATAAATGTGTATATTGTATAATAATTAATAAATTAACATATTCAGCCATTGGCCATATGGGGCCCCGCGAAATTCTGCACCGGGCCCCGAAAACCATCGGGCCGGCACTGAGTCTGCCGGGAAGTAGAAGTTATAGAAGATGCAACAGGATTAACACATCAAACAATTTGGTCAGAGAATAATTAGTAGGTATACGAGTGACTGAATTACAACGAATTGGAGTCCTAGCCGATAATAATTCCGAGTATGCAAAATGATTTTTTTTTGCATATTTGGAACATTTTTCATTATTACCTAAACTTTATATTTACACATTTTTCAATATTAAAAATATATAGATACTGAAAAAAAATATCCGTATACACAACTGAATTATAGCACTTATTATGACTAAACATATATATATTATAGTATTATCATTTATTGTTACTAACGTACAGGGGGTGAGGGGGGGTTCAGCAGGTTATCTGACCCAAAGTTAAAAATTCTTGATGAAATCGTCATTTTTAGGTCTCTAATATAATAGAGTACTTATATCGGATAACTTCATTATTCATTTGAAAAGCAATTTTACTTTTTGTTGTAATGTTTACAAATGTATAATATTAAACTAAATGACCTAATATAATAAAATACAGAAAATGATAGTCAATATCATAATAACTATTTTATTATCTATAAACAATGGCAAATAACTAAATAAACAAACAAATAATTTTTTTTTACCTTAAACTTTTTTAGGGAGTGTAGTAGAGAAGATACCAAAGGCTAAAATTGGTAGGAAAACCTTCAGGGGACTATCAGGAATAACTGTGCAAAAATTTAGAAAAATCTTTTCAGTTTTCTGATTAGTGGGGAACCGGGGACAAAGTAAAAACCGTTTACAACTTTATAATATCTACCTATAATAACTAAACTACCTGTATAGTATTATCTATCTTTATCTTAATACATACAAATCTCATGTCACGAGGTTTGTCCGCGATGAACTCCGAAACCACTCAACTAATTTTAATGACATTTTGTAAATACTTAATACCTCTAGCTTGGTCTAACTTGAGAGATATGATAGTTGTTGTGGCTCTAAATTTTTTTTTATTGCAAATTTAAGAAAGGATTTTAAGATTTACGATGGAAACTTTTGTTTATAAATGGTTTTTATAAATCAACACGTCATATGGGTCGTGAATATTTGATTATAATAATAATTTATTAATCACTCCGCCTCCAAGGGTCCTACGGTTTTATCTTTAGCTTGATTTTAAGAACATTATCTTTGTTTGTCTATGGTATTTTTATAATGGTTAAATTGTTTAGTAAGTTTTGCATACCTATATGATATAGTGAAAATTTAAATGCTCATATTATTTTACTTAAAATCTGAATTATTGTAAAAAACCCACATACAGACACAGATGATGTTCTTACCATCAAGTTTCATAATAGGTCGATTCACTTTAATTTTTAAACTAACGAAGCTAAATGTGATCTGCTGAGTGTAAATTTGCTATGTTATGCACGTGTAAGACGGTGACAACAAATAATGCGCGTGCTACGTCCTCTTAGGGGTCGGCGGGCTGCGGCGACCGGTTCGTCGTCGTCGGCGACGGGCGTTACCACTTACCAGTGTCGGTGGCTCTATCGGCAGTGGTAGTGGTAGTGGTGGTGCTAGTGGTGGTGGTGGTGGTAGCCGTGTGGAGTGGGACAGCGGTAAAGATAACGATTAGGAAGAACCGCCGAACCGGTGGCCGAGCAGCCAGCAGCTGCAGTGTATTGCGAACGCGCGTGTCCGTCGCGCTCGTAACGTACTCGCAGTCGGGTGCGCTCGCGGTGTTTTCGTGTAAAACCCGTCCGTCGCCATACCAAAAATTCGTCGTCGTAACACGTCCACCACGCTTCCGCGAATCACCGTCACAGTGGCCAACACTGCCCCCGCCGGTGGCATGAACGTCGCCCCGGCTTATCCGGGTTTCCCGGAATACGCGGGTTACTCCGACGGCACCACCTCAGCCGCCGCCGCGACCGTCACTGCGGCGAATGGCCTGGCTGACGATGAAAAACCCTCTCCGAAGAGGCACCGGCCCACCGTCTTAACCGGATTGAGGGCCGTATTTGAACCATCCATGAACCGGTTGTCGATGAAGATTTACGGCAGTGAGAAGGCCGTGCTCAAGGAACGACTCAGGCAACGAGCCCTGGGTGCTTGGATCATCCACCCCTGTTCCAAGTTCAGGTAATTTACACAGCTATAGCTAATATAGCTATAAACAAGCACAGATTAGGAGTAATCTGAGTGCCAGCCCATCGAGTTTTAGAACTTTTAGAACCAGCCCAAAACCCGTTTAAATGGGTAAGAGCAGTTATTAATGTTAACACATAGGTATCTATCGAAATTTAGTCAGACCCACCAAGTTAAGCTCAGTATCTCACTTGTTCTATCCGGGCTTAGGGGTAATGTTTAGCGCCGAACAAAACGTACCGGGCACAGACTGATGCTTTCCAGTCTTAATAACATTATGACATTGTATATTATAATATTATAATAAAACTAAAGGTACCTACTTCACTATAAAAAGAACCTATATACAATTATTGGTTTTAAACCAACCTTCGAATAACTATTTTTGACTTGTACTATACAATTAAAAGGTTCATTCAATTCTTCTTGTCTACCCATAAGATCGCTGTAATGTTGTATGAGAAAATGACTGCAGGTCTTTGCACCCCTATTTTAAATTATACGCATCGCCAATGGCAGACGCTTTTATTAACGTTTCTTTAGTTGTTTAACAAAAAAAAATTTTTTTTTTTTTAAGAAATATCTCTTGGTTCGTAACCGGTTTTGACTCGTACATAAAAGGCTGTTTCAACAAAGTCGGATTGGCCACCTGCAGTTAGGGTGTCTTTAAATGTGTAAGACGTAAGTAATTCGAAGTAACATGTCTATCAAACCTTGGTTTATACTCTCAAATGATAAATAATTGTTCACTTTATATTTTATGGTTCTTACACTGACCACATCGTCTCGTTTAAAGTGCAATCTGTGTGTGATTTCCAATCGAGAGAGTTTGCTCACGAAACTGAGTTTTTGAATGTCCTCAAAAGTGGGATACCAACATATCTACAACAGTATAATATTGTAATGTGAAATCTCGAAAAAAAAAAATATACATTATTGTAAAACTAATTGCCCTGCACGTTGGCTCGGAACTTAAAAAACAAGAAAGTGTAAACAAGTTAAATTTTTTTTGATAGGTGTGTTTTATAATGATGTAAACTTGATAATTATTGTTCATCATTACATGTATAATTGTGTATTATGCATTATAATATTATACGGTACCTACCTATGTTTTTATAATATAATTTATGTTTTGGAAAAATAAATACCCCTTCTTGTATACTCATATTAAATACTCTAAAATGTAATGATATTACACAAATATTTACATTATTTTACCTATATACGTAGTATTACGTACCTGTATACACACTTTGCATTGATTAAATTAATTATAGTTTATTTTAATTGTGTTCAAAATATAAATATGTTAATTAAATTCAGCTAAAATATTATGAAAGAATAACTACTATTTTTTTGAATTGGAAATCGAAATGTTACTAAAAATGTTCATTGATTTATACGTAAAGCATGCAGTGTAAACTACAGTAAAAATCAATAATTTTACTGTGAAATATTGATTCTGAAATAAGTAGTAAATATACACTTATTTAAGCTATAATGTTATGTTCCGATTTTTTTTTTATAGCAATCGTTGTAACCTGCAGTGGCGGTTACAATAAATTATAGTAATTAATGAAATATAAATACATAGTTTATATTTAATGAATACGACAAACGTATAATATAAGTGTCTACCTAGTTATTATAATCAATTACGAGAGTCACGGCCCACTTCGTGTATAAAATATTATTAGGCATATCCAGTATCAACCAAAGATTATAGCGACCACTTTTTTTTTTTGGTTGGTTGTTTATGGGCTTTCACGTTTTTATGATTTTAGGCCTATGTCTTTGTGATATTTTCTCGTTTATATGCTTTCAATATATTATTATTATATTATAATATAATATAATTAATTATTTTATTGCGTTACCCTTAAAAATATAACATAATATATTAATATATTGTTATAATATAGGTAGTTTATCTTTTGATCACCATCGTGATTATTATAGTGAGGTATATTATGTTAATATGTTCTTAATTATTTTAGTCGTCTAGTATATTTGTAGTTGTAGCCGTGCAATACTGTGCTCTGTGTAGATATTACAACTTATAAACTTTTTAGATTTAAGGTAATTATTATAATAGATAACACAAAAACATTTTTTTTCTCCGGATAATGGATCGTACAACTATTATGTTGAACTATAGATACACACAAATTGTTTTTTTTCCAATTTTTTAAAAAATATCAACGAATAAGTATTGACGAAAATTGTAGGAAAAGTGGATTGCAGATGCATATAAGGCCGGTGAAGGTTTCGAAAAATATGTTGACGCATTATGTAATAAAATAAATTTGGTTCTAACAACCAAAGTCACCGATGTAGTTTTTAAAAAACAATTGTTCAGATACATGCAGAAGCTTAGGTACCCCGCTGAACAACCGTTTTATTTATTTAGACCCGACGAGATGAAAATATATTCTAAATTGTTTTCATCTAAATCCTCCTCACACGTCGAATTATATCGTTATACCTATATCGTGTTTTTTCTGTTATACGATTGGGAAAACTATTAGGTACCTACAACAACTCTCAATTGTATTCTCTCGTTCAAAAGTCTCTTATAAGTTATTATTAAGATTTATTATTATTATTATTTTGCTTTTTGGTCTTGTTCGATTTTTTATACTGTGCCTATGCAGGGGGAGGGTCAAGCAGTAGACCGGTTCATTTAAGACGCTACTCTCCCCCACACACACTATATTATATACATCACACAATATACAGTAGGTATATCGTATTATACATGTAATACGCATCAGGCTCGGCATTAGGCGTCGTCATTTTGTGCGTTTGTTATAAACATTAAATTTATTCATCCGACTGCATAATGTTTCACCGGCGGGGAGGCGATGTTTAAGATGCGTGCGTGGTATTTTACAACGTTAGACGTATTATACAACTGTAATCGGACAATAATATACCTACATATATACAGGGTGATTCACCAAGCATGTTCACCACATATTTTCCTTAACTAATGAATTTATCCAAATAGAATTTTAATTTTTGGAGTTTTTATATACACTCAAAGACCATGATATTTTCAAATTCTTGAATTCTTTTGTTCTAGGTACTTAAGGAGTCCTGTGGTGATACAAACCTTGGTTTTTCAATTGAGAACCCCCTCCTTTTTTACTGAAGGATAATAGTCATTACAAATAGTTTTACAAAATATAAAGGTGGATGTAATTTTGGATCTAGTACGTATTTATTACAATTGGACAATTTGTAAAAATTATTAATGTTGATAGATTAATATTAATCACTAAAATGTTCAAACCACCATAGCTCCATTATCTTCCAATTATTACGACCTATTATCCTTAGTACACAAAGTTAAATAACTCAAAAACTACTCGTTTGAATTTTAGTTCTTTTAAATTAAAATTTACGATAAGTTATCGGCTTCAAATTATTTACAGTAGAAAAGAGGGTTTTCATTGGACAACAGGAAGTTTGTATCTCCACAAGACACTCCTTATAAGTATATTTAATAATTCTACTATATAATAACTGCGCTATATTAAATAAAAAGAAAAAGGGGGTGAGGAATAGAGTATGTTGGTAAATCATCTATATATAATATTATAGTTAATGATGCTGTGTTTCGTGGTGAACGTCACCATCATCATGTTTGATTGTAATTCATAGCCAAAAACTGATCAAAATCTGGTTCATATAATATTAGTATTTTCTCCGTCGATACAAGTTCCCGGACAAAATTACGATTGTTGGTACACTATAGTTAATTATTAATGACTCATAAGTTATAACGCTTGAGTATATTGTAGACACATGTAAAGAATTGTTTGTTCTGTATCAAATGTAATATAAATAATTTTGCAATTTAATTTTTTATAAGACATGATACATAATAGCAGCCATGCAGTTTAAGTATTTAATGAGCAATATCAATTTTTAAATTAATTTGTTTAATGTTTTTGTTTTTGGTAGGGGGTAAACCACAACTATATTAAAATTGTTAATTTACTATAATAATATAATGTATATCATGACATGAATATATTTTAACATATAGATAATATTAAATGTTTGAAACACATTGGCACTTTGAATGTCTCAGTTATTTTTTGTACCTATAAGTAACTTTATTTGGTAGGGAGGTACATAAATCTTATTAATTATTTTAATTTATTTTATTAAATATAGGTATATTATTTTTCCTTCATTAAATAATTAGTTTTCTTATTACAATAAAATTATTTACTACTAATTTCATCGTTATATGATTAGGTTTGCAAACAATTAACAAATAATATGTATTTGTTATTTACGTGCTTTTGCTCGGTAAACAATAAACATCAATATTGTCCTTGTACGTTTATGCTTGCGAACTAATATACATAATATGTTTTTGTTCTTTGTACGTTTATGCCCGTGAACAAATAATAAGATATAATTCTGTTAAGGTTATATTCAACATAAACTTATTAAACTTATTTGTTCAGTTCCTTAAGGTTCGGGAATGAAAATATGCAGGAATTTACGTTTACAAAAAAAATTTGTTCTGTTCTCACACACATTTTACATTTAAGCGTCGAGATGGTGTATGGATCAGCCTTAATATAGTTCATATTATATGTACTGATATAATATTTAATTTCATGTCTGTTTTGTGGTACATTAGCGCGAAGGTTATTGTAATCCAGGATACGCATGGAGGTTCGAGGGTGGTTCGCGGGGGTGATCGACCACTGCAGCTCCATCCCTCCGCATTACCGTACGGCTTATTATAATTATTATTTCCACTGAAGCGTTTTTGCTATCATACGATTTTCTAGTTAAATGGAAACATATTGTTCCTCAAACGCCACTGTGTCTTGTATGATATACAACAATGCACACTTCCAGTAGGCACATTATTGTAAATAAATACAATACCTATACTACTCTGCAGCAGAACCTACCTCTAATATATCAGACGGTTGACGACGATAGGCCGATGCGTATGACATTTTTAATGAGGTACACAAAGGGGGGTTATAGATCTATATATCTCCTTCATCCGCAATGTCAAACGTTTTGCTTATATCGAAATTATTACGGTAATGGCGGCATAATAATGGAATATAATATTCATTATTAAGTAAATAACAATTATACATTACAAAAATGATTAAATTATAGGTATACTCGTATTATTATAATTATATTATATTATATTATTGTATTATAGGTTAAGTGTAGGTACATAATGCACGTCAAACCCATATTATACGAGTAGAGAGAGAATAATATTATATATTTTTAATTTCTCTTCTTCACAATAATTCAATATTTTATTTATGTTATTGAACGTTTGTCCAGTTATATCTTCCCTCTCGGTTATTAAGACGATGCATTATAATAATAATGTTAATTATTGTTTTTAGGTCGGGTTAGATTTTTTGAGTTAATACATTTTCAAAGAACTATATGGGAAAAAAAAGTGAGTTTACTGGTAATTCATATTTATTATCGAATTTTTAATAAATATTTTTTGAACTATACCGTATACTTAACTGTTATTAATTAATCTGTATATTATATTGATCTTTATAATTGTACACTACAAAATATAATAATTCACTAATAATCTTATACAGTTTGTAATATAATTTGTAATATAAAATGGGTGATC